GCAGGGACAGGGGTGTTTTGGGGTGAGATCCCCCAGGGCCCCCCAAAACCAGGCCAGCTGTGGGCTCCTGGGTTGTTTAGCTCACGTCATTCAGGATGTGTGGGGACAGATGAGCATTGGGGTCACTGGGATCCTGTCCCCTGCTCCTGTGCTTGAGCCAAAGGCACCTCCAACACATTTCTGGACTCCTGGTCTGCACAGGGATCTCCTGCCCCAGGCCTTTCCCCCTCTACCCTCCCTGCAGGACACCCATGGGTGCTAAGCAGGGCACTTACTCTTCAGAGACGTTGTTGGTGCCCAGCTGGTCCATAAAGGCAGCAAAGTGTCTCCTCTCCTCGCTGTCCACCCCTTCCAAGGCCGGGCTGGGGAGGACCAAGCGGACCCTCCTGGACGCCGTTTTCCGCCGCCGGTGCTCCCTGGCAGCTTTTTGGGAGCTCAGGAACTGCCCTGCCAACAGATATCCCAAATGCTCAGTGCCCAGCCGGGGTGCCAGCAAAGCCCAAACCTCTGGCACTTCGCACCCCATGGCTTCAACAAGCTGCTACAGCACAATGGGACCCTTCACCAGGTGAGCCATGGGCTGAGACCCGGGCATGGGGACAATCCGGGGGCATCACGTGCCACACAGCAAGGGGAGCGCTTCCCACCCCTCTAGCAGAGCACTGGGGCCGTGCCCAGGATCAGCCTGGGCTGTTTGGAGGCAGCGTGTGGCACTTACGGAGCCCGGCAGTGAACTCCTCGGTGCTCAACCTCCCGGTGCCAGCAGCATCCAGCCCGTCGAAGACGAGCTCCAGCTCCTCTGTGCTGCACGGGAAACCTTCCTCCTGGAATTTCTAAAAACAGAGCACATCAGGGGGATAACCCAACCCATCACCCAGCCACCTGCAGAAGACAACCCCACCCCTTACGACCCCATTCCTCACCTGTATGTCTGAGCGGGTGATGAACCCTGCCTGGTCCTTGTCCTGCTCCCTGAGGAAGTCGTGCACCCTCTGCACTATTTCAGATGGCTGTTCCTCACCTGGGCCAGGTGCTGGTACCTCACTGGAGCCCTCCTGGATCTGTCTGCGCCGGCTGGAGCCCAGACGCCGGCCCTTGGTGCCCGCCCGGCGCTCGGACATGGCTCCAGCTCCGTCCTGCCTGGGAAACCAGTGGGTGCTGAGCCTTGGCCGGCTCTGTCCTTGCTGGAAAGCTTTGCTCCAGCGTGGTGGGAGGTGGCAGAGAGAGACCAAGCTGGAAGTTCATTTTGCTGGTGCAAGAAGGGTTTGGCAATAGGAAGAGAAGGTCTTATCTCCGATTGCACAGCACAAACAGAGCCTGGATCCACAGCAAACAATGGCCATTCCCCCCAGCCATCCCCCTGGATTCCAGCCCAGCACACACTGGGTGAGCAGCTTCTCCTGTTGCCAGCCTAACCCATCCCAAACCTCCCCGTGCCCTGGCTGTGGAGGTTGCACAGGGCACCCTTCAAAGGCCACCTGGGAGGTGACACAGCCGGGAGGTGACCCCAGCAAAGGACCAGCCAAGGCGATGCTGGAGGTCTGAGTGGGACGTGGTGGTTCCACCTGCTTCCTCAGAGCTCAGCAGCAGCTTTAAAATTCCTCCCCCAGTTTTCACAGCCGTGAGTCACCTCCGGGGAGAGCGGCGGGGCCTCGGGAGGTTTCCATCACGCCGTGTGCTTGCCCTGGCCTGTGGGATCTGGGCTGGGGACCCCCCCACTCCCTTCTCCCCAGCCCCGGGGGGGGTGGCCAACACCAACAGCCACTGTACCATCCCTGTGAGGGGTTGTTTTCTGTGCAGCAAAGCTGAAACACCGCGGGAAGGAACCCACAGCCACGGAGAGCTGTGACGCAGAGCCGGGGCCGTGTTTGAGCCCAGCTTTCCTCTCCCAGCCTGGGGGGACCCCCGGCTTCCCCAGCCCTCTTTCCTTTTGCAATGAGAAACAGCAATTCTCCTCAATCCCAGTGTGCTCCAGAAATGTGGGAACAGGCCCCAAAACCAGCCCCAACCCTTAAATGTGGAGTTGCAGGAGTCCCACAGGATATTGCGGCAGGGCAGAAACCAAGTGCCTTGATGGTGGTCCCAGCCCCATAAAGCAGAAGTGGGAGCCCCCAGGCAGCAAAAGTGGGAGCTTTGGGGGGGCAGGAGGGTTGTTTAAGGAATGAGGAAGCCCCCACTTACCTGCAGGGGGTGGGCTGAGCCCAGTGCACCACAGAGGCACTGAACAAACAGGGGGATGGGGTGGGAATTGTGCACCCCCAGCCAAGCAAGGCCCCCCACGGCATCACCAGCAACCTGCCTCCCCTCCAAAACCCCCCGTGCTGCTCCCAGCCATCAGAAAAGGGCCCCCAGCCCCCAGTCCTCCACAAGCAGCAAGAAAAACCTCCCACAGCTCACCAACACCAAGAAAAAACCCTTATTTCCCCTCTTTCCTATTCCTTAAGGTGACGCACGAACTACCCCCGGGGCAGCAGAACTTACCCTTCCCACGTGCCGGGAGGGACCCTCAGTTTTGGGGCACACGAGGCAGTGGGGCCCCCCGGGCCAGGGGAGGTGCTGGTCCCACAGCACCCCGTGCCTGAGCTCTCATTTTCTCTTACTCAAGGCGCTTTCCGTTCGGGGGTGACACTCAACTGCCGGCGCTCACACGTTTCCTGTTTGCTGCCTTGCAAGTGGGGTGTGGGGAGGACCCATCCAGAGGGTCCCCTCAAACCCTTCAGATCCCAAAGCAGCTCTGCAAAGGCATTGGGAACTGCAGCAGAAATCCCCATCACCTGCTCGTCTGCGATGGTCCAGGGCAGGGGAAAAACAGCAGGGAAACAGCAAATGTTATTTTAAGGCTCCAAATAACCCAAAGTACAGGACTATCTATAACCCACAGATCACAACATCCTACCAACAACAGAACAACCTGCAAGTCCCCCCTGTGGAGGCTCTTTAGTCCCAGTGTTTGGAGATCTCACCCACTGTGCTGCTCTTTGATGCTTTTTTCCAAGGCTCCTGCCTGAGTTATTAACTTGGCTTTAAACCCAGCACTAAACCCACTAAACCCAGCCTGTGGGCTGCGTGTGCTCTGGGTCACAAGGGGAAAGGGGGATTTGGTGGGTCAGGGGCATTTTTGCTCCACTTTAACTGCAAAATGGGAAGAGAACTCAAGCAAGGGGAAACACAAACTATTATCTTTAGGTCATAACTAGAATTAACATCCCCAGGCTCACAAGGCAGGACTTAGGAGGTGGAAGCCAATGCCCTGAGTAACTGCCCATCTCAGCTGGTTAAATCCCTCGCTGGGAACCTAACCCATCCCACCCTCCCAGACACATCCTGCTCATTTGCAGTTTGACCTAAAGAAGCAGCAGCCACCTCAGGTCCATCTGCTCCATCAGGGCATTTATGGGGCAGCTGAGGGCTCAGCTGGTTCTTCTCCACTCATCTGAGCAAAGCTGGTGCTGGTTGCCCCACCCTGAATCATCCCCACAGCTGGGCTGGGGGGCTCGGTTTGCAAAACCCTCCTCTGAGCTGTTTGTCCCCACATCTCACAACCCCTGGAGCTGGTTGCTGGTTGAGTTTTTGCTTTGCTCTCCCCAAGGAGGCTTTTAAGGGGAAACCCCTAAATATCCCTAAGCAAGCTTGGTTTGTGCCCTCTTGCCCCAGCAAGGCTCTGACATCGTGTTTCCAGTGGCAGAGCTGTGCCAGCAGCCTGTGCCAGGGTCAGCACCAGCCACGGGAGGGTAAGATCCAGGAGAGAGGATCCAACCCTGATGAGATGCTGGGCAGGTCTCAGAGAAAGGGGATTCAATACGGTAGGGAAAGGAGGGGAAGCACCTGACCCTCCTCCTGTGGGAGTTTGAACTCCAACATCCCTCCTCCGTGCTGAGGCCAGGCTGGGATGAGAGCAGCAAAACACAACCTGGGCTGAAAGAGGGAGAATTCCATCCGTTCCTCAGCTGCTAGAAGCCCATTTTGTGACCCAGAGCTGGGGACACACAGTCCTGGAGTGTCCCAGGGACTCAAAGCTCAAGCCTCAGTGCCCAGCTCCCTCTGGCACGGCAGGGCCAGACCCTGGCTGTCCCTGCAAACAGGGACAAGGGGCTTTTCACTGGTTTATTTCTCATTTCTTCTTCGCCAGCTCTCCTGGCAAACGGGAGGTGACACAGGGGGGAGCAGTTGGCAGCAGCCACGGGGGCTGGAAGGGCTGACGTAAGGGGAAAGATTACAGGGGCTAAATCTGTAGGGTTTGACTCAGCAGCAGCTCAAAGGCTGTGTGACTGTGCCCCACAGGCACAGCCAGGGACACGGGCTTGCGTGGGTGTCACCCCACACCCTGGGGACAGGCAGGTGCTGAGCAATGACATGAGGCTGTTACCATCAAAACTTTAATTTCATCTGGGCCCTCTGCAAAGCAGGTCACTTGTCACATTAACCAGAACCTGAGTCTGCATCCAGGTCTTGCTCAGTCCTCGGAGGAAGCAGCTGGTGCTGGAGGTTCCCCTGACTCTCAGGGGATCTCAGTCCCACCTGGGACTTGCTGCCACACATTTCCTTCAGCGGTGACACCACGTGTGTCCCCATCCCACAGTGTGGGTCGCCCTCATGGCCACCCACTTTACCCACCCAGCACCACAGGAGGAAGGGATGGGACCAGGCTGCCCGTGGCTGATGGCCACTTGTCCCCCAGGACAGTGCACTGAGGGTTAGGAGGAGTGGGGGCACAGTGGGAAAGGGGGAAAAATGTGCATAAGAGGAATCACCTTCACACAGTGTCTTCTGCTGGGTTCATGGTGGCAGCACCAGACCCCTGTCCTAAGGCAATGGGGTTAAAAAAACGTGCCATAAGCCCTGTGCTTATCCCTCTCAGCCCTCACAACAGCAGCTCTCAGCTCAGGGCTGCACCCCCAGAGGGACCCCCAGCCTCCAGAACCAGGCAGGGACCCAGAGCACCTTCCTCCCCACAGCCAGGCCCTGCTCCCAAATATTCCCATTAACCCAGAGACACCAACTCCCTTACACAAGGCAAGTGTTTATTGAAAGTTAACATTTGTAGACAAACATGTATCTCCATTTCCCCACGTACACTTAATAGTATTATTTTTAATATAAATAAACATTTAGTGCTGGGAGCTTGGCAGCTTCACCAACAGCAAAGTGCATCGTGGTGCAAGGTGAGAGGTCAACCCCATCCCTTTCCTTCCTGGGACCATCTTGCACCAGTTTCCAGAGTCCAAATCCAGCAGAGGAGGAGATGAACCCCATGAAAGTGCTGAGACCCGACAGTGTAGAGTCCCTCAGGAGCAGGGACTCATCCTTCAGTGCTGGGACTGAGCAGCCTTTGCTCCAGGCCATCCCAGAGGTGACCAAAGTCCTTGCTCTGCAGAGCCAGGTGAGGGTCCTCTCCCCTCAGCCCCAAAGGAGAAAAAGTCCAGAAAAACAAGCTACAATTCCTATTTCAGCATCATCCCCAGAGGAGCCCAACAGAGCCAGAGCAGGGGCTCCCCGGCCCGGTGTCAGTGTTGGAGGAGGCAGGAATGTGAGGGCAAACAGTACCACTCAAGCCAACAACAAGGTAAGAAAGTGGGATTTTGGGCCAGTACAGCACAGGGGATCCCAAAGCCTCCCAGGCAGTGTTGGGCCCCCAACTACTGTTCCAACTGGGGGCCTCCAGTGGGTTTGTCACCTCCTGCCAGTGACAGCACCGGTGGGTCACCCCAAGGAAGGGCTGCCCAGGGAGCAGCTTCCTCTCCCAAGCAGCCGTAGGAAGGAGCAGCCTCCAGGTCACTCATGGACAAGTGCTTGGCACTGCTGGGTCCATCCTGCTGGACAGAGGGCACTCTCACTGCCAGCAGCCGGGGTGTCCTCAGGGCCAGGCTGTCTCAGGGCTCCTCAACCCACATCAGTGGCTTCGTCTTAAAGATATCTGGTGCCACCAGGTGGTTGGGACACAAGTGTCCCCCACGGCCAGCCCTCAGGCAGGGGACAGCAGGACGGTGCAGGGATGATGCTTGGCCCCACCACCACAGGGCAGAGGGCACTTCTGCACAGGCAGGGCAGTGCCTCAGTCCCACCAGGCCCATCTCAGTCCTCCTCCACCCCCAGTGTGGGGCTCCAGCCCTCACCAGAGGCTCCTCCTCTACATTGCACACAGTGAAGGTCCCTCGGGACCCCAGAGCTACTCATAAATAGGGAACTACAGACTCTACATTGCTTCATGCAGAACAGCTTACACAGCACAGGGTGGGGGGAAGCCACAGACCCCCCGTGCTCGGCAGCATCAGCAACTGTCCCCCATGGCAGAGGAGCCACCAACGTGTCACGGCTTGGGCTTGGCAGGGACGATCCTCCTCTTGGCACTGTAGAAGTCTGGAGGGCAGAAGGAAAGGGTTGGGAAGTGCCTCCAGCCTGCTGGGAGCAGTGGGGCAGGACGAGGAAGGTGTCCCCAGCGAGGCACCCCAAAATCAGCCAAGGGTTCCATCCTAGAGCTCCCCCACCCAAAGCTCCTGGGGAGAAGAGCCTGCATGTCTCGTCTCCACCATCTCTTCTGTTTGGTCTCACCCGTGTTTCCACCCCAGGCCCTGACCTGAGAGGGCAGAAATTTCTTAGGAAGAAATTTTTTACAGTGAGGGTGGGGGGCCCTGGCACAGGTTGCCCAGAGAAGCTGTGGCTGCCCCATCCCTGGAAGTGTCCAAGGCCAGGCTGGACAGGGTTTGGAGCAACCTGGGCTAGTGGGAGGTGTCCCTGCCCATGAGAGGGGGGTTTGGAACTAGATGATCTTTAAGGTCCATTCCAACCCCTTAATGTTCTGTGACTGGGTCTGGCCATAGGAACTGAAAGTGATGAACCATTTTGGGGCATCTTCACCTACAAAACCCACAAGCCCAATGGAATTCCCCTGCCTAACCCCCAGCAACCAAAAGGCACCCAGTTGGTGGCCTTTTTCCCCTTGGAAGGTGGGCCCTGCTCACCCAAGGGAGATCCATGGAAGGTGGTCTCCTCCCCATGCCCTGGAGGCAGGCAGGGCTCTGGCACCCAAGTCCCCTCTGTCTGTCCCTACCATGACACCAATGCCACCGAGCACCCACGGAGTGACACCAAGCCCCCAGCACTCACCTTTGATGGTGGTCTGCCCACGTTTCAAGCCCTGTGGGGAACCAGCCTTGTAAACCTCCGAGCTCTGCTGAGACTCCTCGGGGCGAATCCTGCCAACACAGTCCCTGGAGGGGACCTTGCGGACCAAGGAGCTCCTGCTGTCACTGCTGATGACAGCCCTGACCAGGCTGTGGGCCCCCTGGGGTGGCTGCTCAGCCAGGAAGATCCTCTCCCACTTGAAGGGTCCTTCCAAGGGAGTCTCCGTCTCAAAGTCGAAGTTCCAGCGCTGCTGAGCTTCTTCCAGTTGCTGCCTCAGCTTGTCCTCAAAGTCATTCTGGAGCTGGTCGTGGTCCACGGGGCCAAAGAGGTTCCTGCACACTTTGCTGCTGCAGGGTGTCTGCCCAGCCCTGCTGTGGGACAGGGGCATCGTGGCAGCTGGGGGGAAACCAGAGAGAGTTACCAGGTATTGGGAAAGCCAGGAGCAAACTCCAGGGTAGCGTGCTGGCTACCAGAGCAAAGCACACGGTAGCCAAGGTGGGACAAGCTGGGCTGGGCTCTGCAGTGAGCCAGCCCAGAGGGGACTGACACCCACCAGCTTCATCCAGACTTTGACTTTTGGGATTTTAGTGGCACCTTAGGCAGAGGCTTGAGCATGGCTGAGGTCACACACAGCCCAGGGAGATGCAGAAGGATGGGGAAGGTGCAGATGTCGACATTCCCCACATCCTTCCTCCAGCAGGGAAAGCCCTGTCAGGGCAGAGCATCCGGCACCTGGATGCTGCCACAGGCTCCATCCACAACCCCACTGCATTCCCACTTCCACACAGCCACAAGGCAAGCTGGCACACGGGCAAGTGAAGCAACAGGATGTTTTCCTGGCCAGTTTCTTCATCACAAGAACCCAGACCCAGTGGTAAGGAAACCTTTAAGCAACTGCAAGAACATGCCACAGGCTTGACCACTGTGCTAACCACCCTCCTTATCTGCAGGGAGCTGTTGAGTAACCAGAGACAAGACCTTGTTTGTTTTTTTTCAAATCGGTGCCAAAAGCCTTGACCTTCACAGTAATTGGCAAAGCCTTTCCTTCCGAGCAGTCCTTCCCCTGACACATGTGTGGGGATAATGGATCCCTCACACCACCCACGGTTATGAGGAACCTCAATATAGAATCAGAATTGTCGAGGTGGAAAAAAGACCTCCCAGATCATCGAGTCCAACTGATAAGACGAGCAATGCTCTGGGATTTGACAGCTTTCCAAGCTAAGGGTTGCCCCTGCTGGGACAGCCACACTCGTTAAAATTGTTTAAGAAAAAAAGATTCACGGAAATAAAATCCCTGCAAGACAGCTCTGACTGCCCAGCCAGTCTAGGACCCCCAAATCCAGACCATGAAAGACACCCCCACCCAGACTTTCACTCACACCCCCAAACTTCCACAAGGACGGGGTTCTCAGTCTCCTGCAGGGAGGATTGCTGCCCAAATTCAGCACCTGCAGCCCCTCTGGATCACCTGTGCCACATTTCTTTCCCAGATTCCTGAAAGTGTTCAAGGAATGACTGGACATGGCATTAATGCTCCAGTTTAGTTCACAAGGTGGTCTTCAGTCAAAGGCTGGACTCGATCTTGGAGATCTTTTCCAACCTAAATGATTCCATGATTCCATTACCAGGCACGTTGTGCCACTGGGCAGCTGAAGAGCCTCCAGCCCGGGGGCTGGGGGGGACCACGCTCTGTCCCGGGGGCCACCCCAACCCTGTGCCCAAGACTCAGCATCCCGGAGTAAAAATAGAAATCCAGCTTCCCTATCTCCTGGCAGTCTGAGCACACAAACAGGATGACCTCACTGCGAGGCAAGTCCCAGCATGTCCAGGCAAGCCCTGGCAGGTAGTGGGCGGGGGGGGGGGACGTGTTCCCACACCCTGACCAGACCCCCCCCAGCCCTCGCCGCCCGCGTCACGCGCCGATGTCCCGATCCTCGGGCCAACGACACGGCCCAGGTGCCACCCCGGAGCCTGGAGATAAAACCTCCGCCCTGACTCACGGCTGCAGATTTGCCAAAGCCACCAATGAGGGAGGGACGGACCGGGGCCGGGTCAGCGTCCCCTCCCTCGGGGCTGGCGCCGCTTCCAGCGACCTCTGCCCAGCGAGAGCTTTCGAGGCTCCCCGTACCCGGCTGGGGAGCCCCAAGATTTGGGCAAGGAAGTGGCAGGTGCTCGGCTGCGTTAGAGCCTCACCCGGCCGGGCTGGGCACCCCCGGGGACACACACACACCCCACTGGGGTCCACAGGCACCTGCGACAGCCAGGACCAGTCACACCAGTTCGGGGAAAGCTGGGGGGGGGGGGGGCAGGAGGGGCTGGGAGCACCCGCACCCGGGGGATGAAGCCGCTGAGCCCGCGCAGAGAACGGCCGGCTCACGACACCGATGGGGCCGAGGCGGGGCTGGCACGGGGGCGTCACGGGGGGGCTGACACGCGGGTGGCCGGACCCCGCGGGACGGCGGTCACGGAGGATGCTCGGCGGCGGGACCGCGCCCCGCACCGCGCCCCGCTCCGCCGCCACCGGGGGGCGAGCGCGGCCCGGCCCCGGCGGCCCCGCGCCCGCCCGGGGGGCTCCGGGGGCTCCCGGGGGTCCGCACCGACACCCCCGGCACCGGGCGCGGCCCCGCTCCCTCCCCGCGGCCCCGGGCGGAGCCGCCCCCGCTCCAGGCACCGGCAGCTCCCCGGGCAAACCGGCGCTTCCCCGGTGGAACCGGCTCCTCCCTCCCCGGCCAGCGAAGGGCCGGAGCCACCAGGACTAGGGAGGGAGGGGGAGGGAACGACTGGAAGCCACCGGGACCGGCGTCGCCGCACTCACCGTCAGGTCCCGCCGCGCCTCCCGGTGCCGCCGCCTCTCGCCGCCTTTATAGCGGAGAGCCGGGGCGGGGCGAGCCCGCCGCTCCCGCGTCGCCAGGGATTTCCCTCCCGGCCCCGCCCCGCCCCGGGCACCGCTCGCGTGTCCCCATAACCCACGTACCCCGTATGTGATCCCCCCACCGCCGCCGCCGTCCCGGTCCCCGGTCCCCAGCGGGACGGGATGGGACCCCGGGCACAGGGAGAGGGGACCCCCCCCCCCTTCTAGGGGGTGCGGGGACCTGGTATTAGGGGCTACAGGGGCCCCCGCGTTAGGAGGTCCAACGACCCCCTTCCTTAGGGGGTGCAGGGACCCGGCATTAGGGGCCACAGGAACCCCCCAGTTAGCACATACAGGGACCTCCTTCCTAGGGGGTTGCAGGGATCCCCCTGTTAGGAAATACAGGAACGTTGGGTGGGCTCAGGGCCAACCCCCAGTAAGGGATGGAGGGACCCCTCCCATCAGGGGATGTAGGGACCCCGTTCCTAGGGGGTTGCAAGGATCCCCCCATCAGGGGATACAGGGACGCCCCTGTTAGGAGATACAGTGACCCCCTTCCTAGAGGGGAGTTGGGACAGAGAGACCCCCCATCAGGGACACAGGGGGATAGGGAATACAGGATAGAGGATACAGGGAGCCCTCAGCAATGGATACAGGGGTGCCCCATCCCAACTGGGAGATGCAGGGGTTTAGTTGGCTCGAGGGGGGGTCCCATCCCACCCAGGGGGGTCCCACCCCACCCAGGCTGTCCCGCCCACCGGGTCACTGTGGGAAGGGGGATAGTGGATTAAGGAAGGGACAGTTCAGCCCCTCGGGGTGCCCACCTCAGAGCCGTGCCAGGATGATGCTGCCCTGGTCCCCAAGTGCTGCCCAACCCATCCTGGGCCACCCCTGGCCCCTCCAGATGGATTTTCTCCCCTGGGTCTGGCTCTGCTCCACGTGCTGGACCCCCAGCACCCGCTGTGGCCGGAGGAAAGTGTTTGGGGAAGGATCTGCTGTCTGAGTCCTGCAGGCTCCAGGGCAGGGATGAGGAGGAGGAACAAGTCCATGCATGTCCTGCAGGAACCGGTGGCGAGTATCTGGGGGGAATCCGTGGCTTAGGTGGAAAGTGCATCCAAGTCCACAGGCAGGAAAGGTGTGAAGCCAGGGCAGCTTCTGCTGGGGCCAGAGGGCACCTGCCCCTGTGCCTGGTTTTTGGTCCATCCATGCCCTGTGGCAGGATAAATTATGCCCTTGGATTTAGCCCACCCAGTGCATGGGGGGCCATATCCTGCAGCCCCCTCCCAGCCCAGCACACGCTGCCCAGACACTGAGGCATCACGGCCTGGGCACACGGGGACAAACACAACCTGCTGGCGTGGGCACAAGAAGGTGACAGCACACTTCCAAGTGACAAAGACCATGTTAAAGTGATCCCTTAGGAATGCCAGACCTCCTCGAAGGCCCCTGGAGCTGGTGGGGTCTGGGGTGCTGAGCAGGACCCTCAGTGTGGAAACCACTTGTGCTTGTCCCGGCTGGACCAGCAGCTTCCCACTGGCTGGAGAAGCTGGAGAATATGTTTGGGCATGTTTGGCTGGAGGCTGCCACAGTGCAAGAGGGTTTTGACATCACTAGTCCCCACTCCGTGGTGCTGGGCCAGGTCAAGTTGCTGGGATTTGGGTGGGTGGTGGCTGCTCAGCACCTTGGCTGCCTCCTGACAGGCACAGTGGGATGGGCAGGAAAGGTGAAAGGAGAATGTAAAGTGTCTTAAATTAATAACCACACACCGCAGAAAATCCATCCTGGAAAGCTGCAGTCTGGACCCAAACACTCCCAAACTCGTCCTGTCTTTCCATTTGTAACATGCAGGGAGAGGAGGGGGCAAGCTGGGACAGGGAAGCTGTCACTGGTTTTTCCACCTGGGAATGATTTCTGCTGCTGGCTGCAGTGAGCAGCTTTGAGAGCTGCACTGCAGAGGGTGGACATGGTGCTGTGTGGTAGCAGATCATTTCCTTGCCAAGCTCCAGCTCTGCTCCAGCTGCAGGTGTGGGTTTGATCCCTCTGGATGTGAGGGATGTGATGGATCCTGATTCAGCACTGGGGCAGCACAGCCTCCAGCTGGGGCTCTGGGATGAAGCAACATTTACCAGAGGATGCTCCCTGCTTAAACCACCTCTTTTGTTTTTCCCATAAAAGCCCCCCAAGTACACAGAAGGGAATCAGAAGGGAATGGGAACATCCAGCCAGCAGCTTTTTAAAGTGGTAGAGGAAGGAGCTTGTGCAACCTGGAGCAGCTCTGTAGCTGCTGATGCAACAGTGAAGGATTCAAAAAGTGAAGTGACAGTGAGATAACCGACCAGCCTGGCTGCTGAGAACATCCCAGTTCCACCAGGGATCCATCCCAGGGCTAAACCAGCCAGAAAGTCAATCAGACACAGATTTTCCCCTAGGAAAGTGACTCCATAATTCTCTCAGTGATTTTTGGTGGGGTGGGGATCTGCTCCCTGTGCCCTGGGATGGGGGGAGCAGGTTTCTGGCTGTTGCCAGCTCCACTCTCGCTTCCCTTGCTCTGGGAACTGGGGAGCTCTGGCTGCACAGCAGAGTCAGAGGAGACCTCAGCCAAGTGGGTTATTGGAAATGGGAAGTGGGGAGAGGGATGGCGTCAGGGTCTGGGTCAGGGAGTCCATGGGCACATCTGCAGTGGCATCACCAGAGAAAAAGGGGGAGAGGGGGAAGTGTGATTAAGAAAGAAGGTGGTACAGGAACTTTAAGAAAATCCCAAAGGTGACTCATGTTCAGTCCCACAACAAGAATGAGGAGGGGGAAGGCAGACAGGGAGCTGGGGACCAGGATCAGTGCCGAGGGCTGATGGGGTATTTCCTCCTCACCATTTATAGCCACCCTGTGGGATCTGTCACCTCCCCTGTGCCCCTCCCCGAGGGGTCCCAAACGAGGGGTCCCTGGAGGGATGTGACTGTGGGAGAATCAGTCTTTATATTTCCTTGAACAGCTCATCCTAATGCCTGGAAGCAAGAGGAACATATTAAATGCCTGCACATTTCAAAGAAACCTCCTTCCCAGCATCAGGGGCACCCAAATACTGAGTGGCTGCCACTGCCTTGGCCATGGAGCCTTTGGTTTCATCCCCAGGGGATCTCCCCAGGTGGGTTCTGCAGACACTGAAGGGAGTGGAAGTCTCTGAAGACACGGATGCAAACACATTACTCACAGCAGGAGAGGGTGACTCAGCCCGTCCTGAGCCCAGCACAGCCAGAGATCCATCAGGGAACGTGCTGGGGCACATCACTTCTGACTGCCAGCCTCATCCCCTGCCCCGTGTCCCGCTCTGACATGGGCAGCAGCACCCCCAAAAGCCAAGGGGGTGTGGGTGGGAGCTCCAGCATGGAGCAGGGAGTGGTTTGAATCGAGGGAAAGAGTCAGGCTTTGAATGCTCCAGGCTTGGATGGGATGGAAACCGGGGAAATGCGGCTTTGTGGAGCCACATGTGGTGGGAATCACATGCTGAGGTCCAACCCGTGCTCATAACGACTGTTTTAAATGCACACCAATACCTACATGTAGGGATTTGAGATGGTTTTGAGATTTAGTGGTCAAAGGTGTACGTGAAGTAGGGTTTTTTTGGGGAGGGGGGAATATAATATTCCTGTTACATCAACCAGCATAGAGGGAAAAACAGCAAAGAGTCGGGCAGATGAGCATCCCTCAGGTCTTTTGGGATGGAGTTGGCAGAGATCAGGGCACACACTTCTTTTTCAAGGTGGGATAAACATAAACTCTGCAAAAACCTGAATTTCTGCCCAGGGAAACAACCTGAGAATGGGGGGAACTAACACAGCATCTCCATCCCAGCACAGAGAGAGGGACGAGCCCACGGGGTTGGGGCTCAGTCCTACAAAACACACCTTCCTACACCCCAAAGGTCCAACCAGGGCTGTGTCCCCCCCCTC